GCGTCACACGGGAATAAATATTTGTAAATACTTCTATTTATTATACTATTGTGCTGTGGCGAGGGGGGTTAGCCGTCCCTTTCTCCCTCGTCGACCGTGAACTCGAAGCTTGTATTGTCACCACGAGAATCGACCGTTTTCCACAGCAAATTTGCAAAAACAAAATGACTCTAGCTGTTCGGGTTCCGGTTACACTAAGAACCCTTGCCTATAGTAGCCAACAAGACTAAAAAAAGGGGGGGGGTAATGCAGAGATTACCTTCATAAAAAAGGCTACAGTCTTCCAACGTCTGTCGAGGACGATTCCCTCATTTCACAAGCGAGAGAATTAAAATCTAAAATCACCGCTTGCAACAGGACCCCCCGCACCAAAAAATCTTTAGGCAGACGGAGTTCTTGTCGAGGGACTAATTAGAAAAAAACCATAAAACCTTGTGCCCATTTCTCGGAGTTAAAAAAAACCAACGAGTTCCGGGTAGTAGGTGAAAAGCCGAAGAAAATCTTTCACTTAAAATAACAAACGTTAATAGAAAGGGACACAAAGGTTATGGTACTTACTTCTCCCCGGTTTCTCCAATTTTTCGAAAAAACGAAACACCAATTGACCGACAATGGGGTAGAAGTACGGTAACCTTTGTGTCTCTTTCTGCTTTTTGTAATGCAGTGTTTTCTTCAGCTCATCAGCTACCCAGAGCTTTTTATTTCTTGAAAATCCGGCAGCAAAAAAAGCCACCGGGACAGATTTAACTTGGCGTCCGCCAATCAGCTGTCTCCATTTAACTTGGCGCCTACTTGTCGTCTTCTCTATTTTCGAGAAATTTTGGCAATTACACCGCTTTTTCTTCTGCGCGCACCGCATTCGAACCGACCAGTTCAGAGACTGAGACACATCAGGCGGGAGCCTGGGCGCTGCAACTGGCGCATACCAGACGCCAACAGCAGCAGAGACCACTCTGGGTTCTGTGTGCACGATGTTTCGCAATGTCAATCCACACTGAGTGTCGATGACGAGCACGCAGCAGCACAGGCCAGAAGAGCTACAGCGAGGAGAGAGAGGGAGGTCGCACAAACACGCACGCACGCACACACGCGAATGTTTATGTCGAGCTACTACTGCAGCACAGCAGTAGTACCCACACCAAGGGATCCATGCATGATATTATATCATCTGCACGCCCGTCCTCTCGCCAGAACACTTCGAGTATCGTGATGATGATGCTCTGGCACCTCCTCCGCGTTGTTTTTTTTCGCCCTCTTGACTCCATCTATCGGTAGGTTCTTCGGAGTGAACACCCCACCCAAAGCAATCCCCATCAATCATCCATCCCGACGGGTCGGTTTGTTGACAACCCGCATGGCAGAATATATGCACGGTGATTTCTTTGCTGTCCCGGTGACGGCACCTCTGCTCTGGTGCCTCCTTTCCTATATTGATTCATTGAGTGAGGTAAAACATTTTGAAAGCGTGTGGCCCGCAGATGAATGGGTTTCACCGTGTATTGGCGGGCTTCGCCCGCGTAATTAAACTCCTAAAAGCTCTGTTCCGGTACATTCAAATTTTTCCGAAAATCCGAGCAAGGATCACAAAGTTGTGATTTTCAAAGGTACTTGAGAAAGAACCCCCTCCGCCCAGAGCAAATTTCGAGTGAGGGGGGGCCTGTTGCAGGTGGTCTATTGCTATTTTGTCCCGGATTCTTACCTGCCGATAGCAATGGATTACTTGTATTATGCACAAGAAAAAAAATCTGCAGTACCTCTACAACGTACCGTACGCATAAATATGATGATGGTGTACCACTACTTCGTTACATAGACCGCGGTGGATATATTTCTTAATCGTTGCGCCTTGTCTGTACTTCATGTAAATGTGTCCTCTGTAACGCAGGGCATGCACAGTATGTATGGTCGGGGTCGCGGTTTGGTTGGTGTGTTTGGTTGTGTGCTGTTTGCACCGTTCCTCAGGATCGTCGGCAGAGTCGGTCTCTTTCGAGAAAAAGACCGCAGGTCATCGAAAACAGCACATTGGCCAAAAGAGGCTCAAAGTCACTGAAAAACCATCACTGCTCTGCCGACTTTCACGTCCTCATCGGAATCGGTGGGTTTGCCTTGTTTTGGATAAACAAAGCGGAGACTGACCTATAGAAATGATTCTTTTGAGTACAGTCATGATCTCTTGGTGGGGTCCGACATACGGTTATATAGTCTAGAGGCCTAAAGGGGGGTATTTTATGCTGCGCCAATCGTGCAAAAATGCCGCTTTTGCCAAAAACATGAAAAAATCCAAGTGTTTGAGGTGTGAGGCGAAATTCACGGTGGGTAATCCTTGGGACAGAACCACACTGCTCTAGCACATGTGGCTACACTGCCACCCAACATCCACGACGTATAGTACTCCCGTACGCCCCACCAGTCGTTGGTATATAGTGGGGTTGTGTCCCTCCGAGGCACAAGCAAGCTAAATTCTAAATTCGCAGCTAACGCTCACGTTCATGTAGATCACGAGTTCGATTCTCACCTGAAAGATATTTTTTTTCCAATTTCAACATTGC